CCCCAAAACCCCAAAACCCCAAAACCCCAAATAGAGCTCAAACTGTTAATAAGAAAATTATTAAAATAATAAGATAAATTTATAAATTTTAAAAATATAAAACAGAGAGCAATCAAATGCCAAGTAATATTTTTCAAATTTATCTGACTTCTTTTAAATTCTTATCTGAACTTTATTTTAGCTCTCGACTAAGGTCTTACGACAGCTTGGACTATTAGCAGCACAACCTTCATGCTCCTAATGACTATAGGATTTACATTGATAGAATCGGCTTAAGTTAGAAAAAAGAATAGGACTTTTGTTGCCACAAAAAACATGCTAATATTTATCGTGACTTTGATATGCTTTTTCATTCTAGGCTATGCCTTTGCTTTTGGTGACTCTAGCGTTGGTATAATTGGTGCTTAGGGTGAATATGTGGGAGTTTTTACCCCTAATGGACTCTATCATGAAAGATAATTTCCATTCTATTTCGCTACATCATTGATTGTCGCAATTCTAGTCACTGGAAGCATGAGTGAAAGAGCAAAACTTTAACCTCTTATTGGTTATATTGTCTTATTACAGACAATAATATATCCAGTGATAATGAGCTGGGCGTGGAATCTCCAAGGAGGATTCTTAAGAAACTTGGGCTACTTTGATAGAGGTGGCTCAGTTATTATATTCTAGACAGGTGCTCTTGCTGGTTTGATAGGAACTGTAGTTATAGGGCCTAGATATGGCAAATTCATGAAAAAGGTGGATATGGAAAGAATGAAGGGAGGTGGCAAAGAACCCTCCAAAAAGCCACTCGGTACTTTGCTTGAACATGCACTTGAAGACACAGTTGATGTTGATGATTTATTCTTGAGGAAAATTAGAAAGCTAATCAAATTAGAGGAAGAGGATTACAACTTCTATTCTATAAATAATAGCATGATGATTTTGGGCACATTTATTACCGTTATTGGTTGGGCTATGCTTAATGCATGTGGATATGGGACTCATTCCTTAAATTCAGTTAGCGGAAGATATGCAGCAGAGCTGGCATTTTTAAATACATTTATTGGTGGAAGCTTTTGCTCCTTCTTCTGTTTCATCTTCAAGAGGCATTTCGTTAGAGGAGATCATTAGAAAACTCAGAGATATGATATCAAGTCACTGTGCAATGGATTTTTAAGTGGAGTTGCAGCTGTGAGTGCAGGCTGTGGAGTTATGAAGCCATGGAGTGCCCTAGTAACTGGAAGTATCTAAGCATTCTTATATATGCTATTCTGCTTAATATTCAAAAAGATCAAGATAGATGACCCAATGGAAAACTTTTAAATATATGGATCAGCAGCTATATGGGCAGTGCTTGCCAGTGTATTTTTTATTCCAAATAGAGGTATACTGTGGGGAGGAGTAGATTCTGGCTCGCTGCTTGGAATTCAGCTACTTGGTTGGGCCGCTGTATCTGTTTGGACTCTAATCGTCACTTGGATTTACTTCTTCTCATTCAAAAAATGTCATGCTTTAAAACTTAAGAGAGCAGAAGAAGTAATTGGTCACGATACATTAAATATGGCGAAATCTAAGGGCATTGATATCAGTTAACTATTAGAGGCAATCCAAAAAATGTATCCAGAACAAAAGCATAAAGGCTGCTGACAGCTTTTCCCTTCATATATATCCTCAATAAATCATACGAACTTATCAAGATATGTAGTATTGTTAATAGTTTTTAATATCACTTAAATAAAATTTACCAATATAATCACAAATAACCACAACTCAAAATAAAAATTTCTCCCTGATGCACATCGTTACTTTTCATCTGATTCTTAAACTCTTATTAGGAGAACTAGCTTTTGATGATTTGGGAGGAGAATTAGGCTGAGATAGTAGCTCAAGTCCAGAAATCCAGCGTATTCTTTTGCCATTTTACCATTCACCTTGCTTTTTCATTCCGTCTTATGAAGTGTAGATTATTCCTATCCCATGCTAAAGCCCGTTTCGCCAACTGCCTATGTATTTAATGCCATTAGGCCAGTCAAATGTACCTTCTCCATCTTTCTTACCATTCTTAAAATCTCCTTCGTATTTCCTACCATCTCCCCATGTTTCCATGCCTTTGCCCTCCATATTACTCATTCTGAATTCACCTTCATAATACTTATCTAGATCTGCAAAGTAGTATCTGCCAAAACCAGAGAAATGTCCATCTACAAAACCTCCCTCATAGTATGATCCATCTTCCCAATCAAATCTACCCTTACCATTCTTTTTTCCCTTATAAAATTCTCCTGTGTATGCAGCTTTTATGTTTTAGGGATCTCCCCATGTTTCTATGCCTTAGCCATGCTACAAGTCATTTTGCCATTATCCTTCATACTTAGCATTATTTGAGTCAATAAATATTCCAAAGCCATTTGCTTTATCATCGCTCCAATTTCCATCGTATAAATCTCCATTCCTATGAGTCATCCTGCCTCTTCCATTCGCTTTATTTTTTCTCCACATGCCTTCATACTTAGATCCATCAGGCCACAGCTGAATCCCTACACCATCTCTCTCCCCAAGCTTTTTGTTCCACTATCCCTTATATAATTTGCCATCACCCACATCCTTGTATTAATCTATGTAGACTCTTTCTACACCATCCTAAGCATCATATTCTTCAGGATTCAACTTAAATTCTCCTAGTTTTTGTATCCATGATACTATAATTCCTGACTACTCCAAACTATCTTAAAGATTCTGCACACTGTTCCTCGAATATAAGTATGAATTGGATTTATTCTTTCCTTTTTCATCGCCTAATCAAACATGATTATTAATCTTAAATGATTTTTAAATGTAATGGATGTTGATATTATTACTGAATAAATTTCTGATCTTCTAGTCTCTGGTTTGCTTTAGTCTTTTTTTCGCAAGGTATCTCCTCATTGCTGATTAGATCTTGATAAGCGTGGATAGATGCTTGTACTTAATGTGATTATTGGCCTCTCTATTGTATTGACCACTGTAGCTGCAGCAATAATTTCCCATTAATTAAGCTATTTCGTTTTATAAATTAAATTTTATACTTAAACGTCTTAGATCCATCAGGCCACAGCTGAATTCCTACACCATCTCTCTCCCCAAGCTTTCTTTTTTACCATCAGGAGTCAAAAAATATGGACTTTCAGGATCGAATCTTTCTGGAATAAACTTATCAGGCTCTTGCCATTCTTTTGGATTTTTATGAAGTAATGTAAAGTGTACTAATATAGGAATATCATTGTCTATTTTATATCCAGCTATAGTGGTGAGGAATTTCTGACTGGGGGTTCGACTCTCAAAGTTTCTCAGACGAACAAGTAAAGATATCTCAATTCATATTGTAATTAGTCGTAACCTAGCTTTTAAATCCAAAGTTCAGGAAAAGTGTTGAGTTACTCTATTGATCGAGGATTGCTTCTATCAGGACTTAAATGCACACATAAAGATTAATAGTTTTGACAATTTTATTGTGGTTTCTGAATAAATTTATCTCTTCAATTAGATTATTATGAACATTAGGTAGAAACTCAATATAGTTCAAGAGATTGATGATCAGAGTTGCAGTTGTTTAAGTAGATGCCATTAAAAATGTTGCTAGCAATTAAGTCATAGTTTATTTGAATTAGCTTTCACCAAATATGCTCACCTAAATATTAAAATGAAATAATCAAAATACCATGATGCAGTCTAGATATGAGAGTCAATAAGTTAATGTAGTTCTTTCTCAGACTTTCCTTACTTAATATCTTTCTTTAGATTGCCGATCCAGTTGTTTGTCATTTAATGTGTAGATTAGATGATGATTTTTAGGTTTTAATTCAATCTTTCTATGTAGAAAGCTATTGACAATCTTTTTTCTATTTATTGCTTGCTCTTCTGTAGATTTCTCAAAAAGTATGGTCTCCCCTGTCAAATCTTGCACAGTTATCTTGGATCTGTAATATTATTAATCCATAAAATCAATGATTTATTTACTGTAAATTTATAATGCTAATAACAGCAATGGGTAATAATTCTTATTTTATAAAACTCAAATTTCGGCAATTTTCTCATTAAAAATTTTAGAAATTTCCTTATTTTGATGATAAATGCCTTAAGGGGTTTTGGGGTTTTGGGG